ACCAACGCTACATTCACTGTCACCACTACAGCTGTGCTCTCAGGTTCACGTAAACACAGCACACAGGTGGGATGTGCAGCACGAGTGCTCTCTGCTCCTCACAGAGAGGTGATGGAGACGATTCCTGAGGTCCAGGAGGAGTATGACGATTATGATGATGATGATTATGATGATGGTTAGAAACTCTTTTAAAATGATTGATTTATAAATTGGTGATTACTTTGTGATTTTAATGTTGAGGTTCCTTCTAACAGGTCTGAATGATGGATCCTATCACAGAAATTTTGGTGTGTTTACATTCGAATGCTTTACACTCAGGTTTTCTGTTCACTCTATTGTTATTTAGTAGATGTTTCAATGATTGTGTCCTTCTTTTCTCTGTTTTTCTCAAAGGAAGGATTTTAGTCATTCTTTCCTCTGTGTTGTTGTTGTTGTTGGCCTGTTTTACTGCACTCATCTTTGTCTGGCCTAAAAAGAAATCTCAGAGCAGGTACTCTTTCTTACATTCTGTTACTGTTTGTCAATTTGATTCAGCTGCTAAATGTTTCTGCAGTTTTAACTGTATTTGTCACACAGCGAGCTCGAGACAAATGAGATCAATGATGTAAGTCACTCTTTATCTTCTCATTTTGTTTTAATTTAGGAACCAAAACACTTTTAGTCAGATGAGGTGACAATCCGCTCAGAAAACACAAACATCCTGAGGGAGACCATCCAGGGCTCACGTCTTTATCAGGATGAAGATCTGATCTTGACCATTGTTGATTTCTCTTTAATGAAGTGTGGCATTTCTGAACAAAATGGTGCTAGAGTTTGACAAACACAAAACACAAAGACCTGTTCCACTGAAGCATTCAAGAAGCTTTCCTGGTGTTCATGCTGCAACTATTATGTTTGTGCTAAATTTTACTACATTTTTTAAAGGTTTTTTTTATACATAAATTATTAAGGAAAAGGAAACGTTGATGATAAAAAAAGGATTTTTTTTTGTTTTGTTTGGTGGATATTATTACACTTAATTACTTCAAATGAAAACTTTGAAAATCAACAGGAGTGATCAACATAAAACTTTCACTTTAGTCATTTTTGCTCCCATTGCTGAAATTGAAGTTCTCTGTTTGTTGTGAAATTTTACAGATTTTTACAATTCAGTTTGTCAGCATCTGTACAAAAATATAGCGCATACATATGGTTAAAGTTTTCACTTAACCCAGGAATGTTGGTTCTATCTAGTTCCATTAAAAATCCATTAAACCATCAAATATTGTTAGCATTATTTTTTATTCATATTTGATTTGATAAACACACAAACAACACTGCACTGCTTATGAAAAATATTTATTTTTTGCTAAAATGCTATAGAATTAATGTAATCGGATGTATACTCCAACGTGTACATGAAGTTATAACAAACTGAAAGCACTTTGTGAGGTTGTTCGTTTTTGGTGAATACAGGGAAGTGGGAACCCATCTTTCTTTCTTCCTTCATGTTCATCTTATTAATATTTTAATAATAATAAATATAGATAATGAACACGGAAACCTGTTTTGGTGATTTTATTTTGATGTTTTGTATGATTGAGAATAAAGCAATTAATAAGCTGAGCAATGCTGCTTTGTCTTGTCTGGAAGTAAATAATCTCATCAGTGAACTCTGAATGAAAACTTTGGCTGGTTTGAGCCGCAGTGAGATTCAGTCATTCATTATTAGATGGGAGTTATTCCCCAATATGACTCAGCGTCTGCGGCGAGCTTCACCTTCTCCTGTTTTGTTGAATGAAATAGACAAAATGTGATCAGTACATGTAAGAGATCAGGCGTGTTTCACACCACAGTCTGAGGTGTTGCGTCTCCTTTTAGAGAAACAAAGGCACGTTCATTCTTTTTGCGAGTTCAAAACGAAAGTGAAAGTAAGTCTGTTCCACTGCACTGTGAAGAGGGGACGATGAGGAATAAATGTGCTGTAAAACGACAGACAGGGTTTCCAAAATAGTAAATATTATCAGAATACTGGCTTATTAGATATCCAAGTGAACATCATCATATGACATGTAGCTGTTGTTAATAAAAGGGATAATCTTTTATTATGTTTTTTTTTTCACTGCACACCCAGAGATGGTACGGACTGGTCAAGCGGTAAGATTCAAATTTTTCTTTTTTTTATTTGGCGGCACACAGACAACATGGCAGGACGTAAAATCACACTGATCTTTTCTTTACTGGCGATCTTTTCAAAAGGTGAGAGAGATGCTGTTTTCTTTATGACTTATTGATTTGTAGTAGTCAGTTTGCTCTGTGGGGAGTGTATAAATTTAAGTGTAATCCACTGCAGACAGTCAAAGTGGGTTTGGCAGGTAGTTTGTTTTACAGTTATAGATACAGTTAGTGAATAAGATGGAATTTGTTACTGTGACACTATGAACATCAACAGCTTAAATTCAAGTCAAGTTGCTTCCTTTAGAAGCAAATGCTGTTAGTCAGCAGGCACACTGAGGAACACCTCATTTGAAGCAATACCTAAATTAACTTTTATTTTAATAGTGAGCGGGACATAAAAGTGCATGTGCAGAACATCGAGTCAAATTTGACTGTAAAAAAAATTATAAAACATTTGCTGACTTTGCACACAAAGCTTTATAAAGTTTTATCCCTGGAAGTATAACAACCAGTATGTTTGCTGTTTGAAAATCACCTCACTTCACTGCCATCCTACAGGTGGGAGGGGTCTAACAACAGCCCCATCCTGGCTGCCAATCAGAAGTGATTTCTTTGGTTTTATTTTCAGTTTTTCAAATGTGCTCTCTGTTCTACAAAAGTAAAAGCATTTAAGAAGTTACCACAGGTGAATTCTGAGCGATCATAACAGGTCATTTTACACTGACGAATACCTCTCAAATCTAAGCAACTCAATTATCATGTAAATTATTAACTAATAGGTCACCTGTAATTGTTGGATGTGCATTGTTGCATTTTCTTTAGTGGTTTACACAGTTTTTTTTATTTGTTTGTTTTTACAGCACAAATGGGCTTTACATCAGTTTGTAATAGACTGCTGGCAAAGAGGTTAGAGTGACAATAAAGTCACTTAACACAGCGAATACATTTTATACTGAAAGTATAAAAGTATAAAAACCTAGAAAAACAGGAGTGAGAGCTTTTCTTTCTCTTTCATTCATAAGATAGTTTATTTATTATTTATATTTTGGATCTTGGTGTTTAAGTGAATGAACATCCTCCATTGGTGGAAGCTGAAGAAGGAAGAATTCTGTACAGCATTTGGGCTCCGGGTGTTAGGGAGTTACCAGCTGGAGTAACATAAGAGTGGAGGAAGGTGGAGTCCATCTCATTCAAAGGTGCAATCTAAAAGAGGCAGGAGACTGCAAGCTGATGTCAGGGGAAGCATCGCAGGGTCGTCTGTAGGGTGACTTTGGACATCAAGAAGAGGAGGCGGGCAAAGTAAATGAGACAAAGGAAAATCAATAGAGTAACAGAAATAATAACAATATTTATAATGATAACAAGAAGATAAAGATGAAGCTTATATAGATCTTTACAATACAATCCACTGTTTCGTTAATTTATAAGATTATTTAAAAGATCCAGCCCAAATTACACTCTGGCCCATCCAAATCTGGGCACTGTGCCTGGTGCCACATCTCTCGTATGTCTCTGTTGTTGCCCAGGACCTAACCTAGCAACAGTCACTGATGCTACAGGCTGTCACTGTGAACTATACCACAATATTGCAAAACACAAAGCTTAGCCTGCACTGAACTTCTATTTTAGCCTTTGCATATCATGAAATTATTATCATGTGATTTACTTTGAAAGATATTCCACAATGTGACATAATTAGATAACTTCAGCAGCACGTCACGTACAGATCTGCTGTCTGGTTACAAACATCTAAGTTGATTTAAGAGATTACATGTAACCTTTAAATTTCCATTTTGTAAAGTTTAAGGTGCTGAGCAGTCAGAACAGCATATTTGTCTTTATTTTGAATTTGTCTGCCACTTCAAGTTTCTCCTTTTATGCTAAATCCTGTTTTGTAGTTCTAGCTAGAAACAGAAGAACCTTTAAGAGGACATGTATGATCATGACAGGGTAAAGGTGGCCCATGTGGTGACTTAAATGTTTCTGTGGCATCAGCAGGGATAACCATCAGCCTGTGGTTCATATGCTGCTCAAGCCATTCATAATTTTCGTGTCATTTTCTCTGTGCAGGTCATACATCTGGGATACAAACACAGCACACTGTGCTGGCAGCAGTGGGAGAGAAGGCCTGCTTGAACTGTGAGCTCATGCTTTCTAAAGACGTCCTTCAAGTCACATGGCAGATGATCTCAGGAAGTTCAGAAAAAAATATGGCCACCTACAACAAGTACTTTGGCCAGAGAGTGAATCCTGAGTTTACAAAGAAAGTGGAGTTTAAAAATCCTGCACTACAGAACTGCTCCATAGTCATCAGGAACGTGACGGAGCAGGATGAAGGCTGCTATCGCTGTCTGTTTAACACTTATCCTGAAGGAGCCTTCACAGGTAGAACCTGCCTCCACGTCTACGGTAAGGACACGTGGTCTAGAGTTATAGAGGAAACCTATCCACAGCTAAAACTAAATCTCTACCTCATCTGCACCCACAGTGCTTGTGGTATTTACTGTTAATGGCAATAATATAGAAAACAAAACAAATGTGAAAAAAATACAAAATATATTAAAAATAGGAATTGCTCAGTACAGTTGGGAAGTACCAGTTTTACCTCGATACAATATTATCTCAATACTACACTCACAAATTAATATTATTGCAATTCCTAACATTTTACAATATACTGAAAAACCTTCCTCTTCTATATGAATATAACTAGAATACATCCTGGCAGTTGAGTCCCCGTTAGTTGTGCTTATTGATAAAAACTCAAAAGTGTCTTTTTATTAGGAGATAGCTTTGTCAAGATGGGTGCGTTGAATGTTTTTTTGGTTGAGCTGATTTAATGTAATTTTGCACAGTAGTGCATGAGATGAGCCATTTTATTAGGTATTCCCAGACATTTGTTTTGTAATTTATTCAATAACATTTTGATATTTGGTGTCCCTGTAATGATATAATATCACCATGCAAAATATTGAAATACTCTTCTGTATCGGGTTTTCCTCCACCCTTAGTGCTTAGTATGCAGGGTTTCAAAAGACAGGTAAGGAAAGAGACTGTTAAAATTTGTGTTTCATACTTTATTCACAAATACTCTGCTTAGAAATTAAAATATTTTATTAAAAGAATAATATTTTGTTTCCATCCCCAATGTTAAATCATTTTGTAGAAGTTTTTACACCACTCTTCACAGTAAATCTATTTACATAGAGAATGCGATTGCCTAAAACACTGCACAGCTATAGTATACAAATCAGCAACACACACAGGCTTATTTGGATTTTTATTTCCACATTTAATGGTGACTTTTCTTAAATATATTTTCTTCACAGAGCTGCATGAACCTGTCCTTGACGTCAGAGAGTCAAACTCTGCTGAAGAGTGGGTTGTTTCCTGTTCAGCCACTGGTCGACCTGCTCCCACTGTAACACTCAGTGTCTCACAACAAGACCTCAGCTTCTCACAGTACAACACTGTCAGTGTGTCCAACGCCAACGCTACATTCACTGTCACCACTACAGCTGTGCTCTCAGGTTCACGTAAACACAGCACACAGGTGGGATGTGCAGCACGAGTGCTCTCTGCCCCTCAGCGAGGGGTGACGGTGATGATTTACGAGGTCCAAAAGACACCTGATGCTACTGAGGATGGTGAGAAACATTCAAATTCACAGATTTATAGATTGATGCCATGCCACTCTAATATTTGCGTTCCTGCTTTTAGGCTCTTATGAGAAGATCACATCCCATAGCAGTGAATCAAGTAAGTTTGCCTTTCCATGTGTGTAATTTGTAAGTGCTTTATGAATGGTGCTCCAAGTCACAGTTTTCCTCTGTTCTCCCAGATTTCACCTGGATCATTGTATTAGCTGTGGTGTCGGTGGTTGCAGTGTTAGTGGTGATGTTGTATGTGGTTCATCGCGATTGGATCTCTGCTTTCTTCACTGCTCATTTCAAACAACAAAACAAGACTGGGTAATTTTCACTTTAATATAGTCTCCTAATGTAAGTTTGTCACTGTTAATATAGTAATGATTTACTGACATTAAGAAACTTCACATGAACACCTATAAATCTTTTCAGAAAAACCCCAGTAAATACCATTTATATGTTTTTGCAGTATATAATTTAAATCCTTTAAATGTTTTCATCACTCAGGGACCCAGAGAAGACCAACACACCACTAAAATCAAAGCAAGACATTGATGAGTAAGTACATTTCATAACTATTCATATTTTACAGCATTTTTTCTTTGTCAGTTTTGTTTTTTCCATTTTCTTGTCTGTCAGCTTAACTTCATCCTGATGAAACTGAAGTGTTTCAGTGAATCACACACTTAAGTTAATCACACTTGATTGTTTCATCTCCTTCATGTATGCATTGTTCATGAACTTTAATCTTCATGTATATATACAGTCATCATTTGCTGTGTGAGCGGAAATGAACTCATGTCTTGTTTCTGTCTGAAGGAACAAAACACCTTTAATAGCGCACGAGAACGAGCAGCTCAGGCAGCGGACGTCTACAAAGAAAACTCCAAAAAACATCAGCAGGAAAGTTTCACCTTCAGCAGCAAAAAGACTGTTTGGAGACGATCAGTCAATCAAAACTAAAATAGATGAACAAACTGCATCACTGGCTGATTAAATAAAGAGGACCGTGTCAACAACAAAGATTCCTACCTGATATTTCTAGACAACACTAATAAGAATTCAATAAAGAGAGATCAGTGGGAAGAAATGAACATGAGTTATTAAAATAGAGAATTTAATGTACTTGGTGATTAGACTCTGATGACCCGCCACGTCAGAACGGAGGCTTGGACGGAGCTCTGACTGAGCTGTCTGTGAGGTGGAGACAGGGAGGAGGTGGGCTGAATGAATAACATGTACAACTGATAAATAATAGTTGTTCTGCTTCATAGACATTTGTTTGTTATATCATACTGTTAAAATGTAATTGGTTATAAAGTTTTGATATTTTGTAACATGGTTGTAATAGAGTAAAATAAGCTGTGAAGTGTGTTAAGTTGTTTCTGCAGATTAAATGAGGACTGCAGAGATGTGATTGATTTCCAAATGTAACTCAGTGTGTGCTGCAGATCTGCATCTAATATACACAGAATGAGCACATGGTGGCACTGTTGGTTCAAACTAGCTGAGGAAGTTTAGCAACTGTCAAAGGACCATGTCTGTAAACATTACTCTAAGAAAACCAAATGTTAACGGTGTTTCTGGTTAGTTATTATTATATAAGTATAATGTTTTTATTATCTTATGGCAAAACTCTAAATAAATCAATTTGTATCTCCTATTTTCTCCTGCTTATGAGCTCATGTTTTGTTTAAAGTTGCATAGACTCCAAGTGCTTGTCTAAACAGATTAGTCATGTTTCACAACTTAATCCGAGGTATTTGAAGCGTTTCATCTTACATTTGTCAGTCTGTCTGTGCGAGTATTCTAAACGAAAGTAGAAGTTGTTGGTCTGTTCCACTGCACACTGAAGAGGGGACAATGAGCTGTAAAATAGCAGAGAGGTTTTACAAAAAAGAAAAATGTTTATCAAGTCAGTGACTTATTAGCTATCACATCAAACACCATGAGATGTTGTGTAGCTGTTGTTAGGAAGAAGGATGACTTTCACTTTGCTGTTTTTCACTACACTCCCAGTGACATTTTGGACTGGCCGAACGTTCAACGTAAGTTCAAAATTGGGCGTTGTTTGTTAGCTTTTTAAATTTGGTAATATGCAGACAAAATGGCACAATTGTCCTTTCATTGCTGGCAGTCTTTTCAAAAGGTGAGAGAGACACTGTTTTCTTTATTATTTTTAATGATTTTAAAATGACTTGCTCTCACTTTGCTCTGTGGTAAGTGTCTAAAATGATTTGACAGACGGTTCCAGTGTAACGGGTCGAAAGAGAGAAGAAATCCTCTAAGCTGTATAAAAGGTAGAATTAGGAAAGTGTTACTAAAGAAAGCCATCGGCTTAAATTGAAATTGACCAAACATAATCTTAATAAAACTAGTGCTTTCAGTTTGATTTCCAAATAGCTGATGAGTAACTAATTATTGTGCTTCTAAAAACTGGAGAGCTGCTCTATGCTCCCTGAGTATGCCCCAGAAACTCAGAAATTATGTTCTTAATAGCATTTTTTGTTTTGGGTCCATCTCTCTCTCCCTCTCTCTCTACATATATATTATATACATATATCACACACACACACACACACACACACACACACACACACACACACACACACACACACACACACACACATATATATATATATTCAAAACACAGAAACAAACCCCACCCCAGAGGGATCAATCAATTGTAATTTGTAAATTCTAAACACATTTCAATTACTTTTATTTTCCACAATAATTAGTTAACACAGTAAAATACACCTTTCAGCCTGTCGTGGATTTTGAAACTGAAATGTAAGTATGCCCTAAAACGAACCCAATCAAACTACAAACATATATAGAAACAAGAGCACAGGTGTTCTTTCCACTCAATTTAAATAAAGGAGCTACAGTCTAACCGATGCACCCTGGTGGCCACATGTTTTTATGAATCATCAAATTCTTAAAACCATTGCAACAATGGACAAATCAGTCTGCTGAAGTAATAGCTATAGCCACCAAAAACACTTTAAACACACATTAAATAAATCTCAAGATTCTCTATTAGTCATGACTGAAACATTACTGTCACCACTACAAGAGCTATGTGGCTCATTGCCTCTCTGAAAGGACTGACAGTGAGCCTCTGTC